AATAGCTGAAAAAAACAAAAGGCAAACAAACTTTCCATGATGGAAATGGAGGTTTACTTGCGTCTCCGACAAAACTTATCGATCACAGTTGCAGAATGGGGCATTTAATTCTATAGAATAGGGGAACTGAAACGAACTGCACTGGTTTTACTTTCATTCGCACTACGATTGGTCTAAACATTTCACGCCACTCACCTAGCCAATCAGATACAAAACTAGAGCAATTGCAACTTTGTTATGCACGTTTTCCCCACATTTGACGCTGGTTACTGTAGCGCCTGGTTTTCATTGACTACTGGTGATCTTTACCTAGTCCTGACTTACTATGATCCTTTTGAATTTGGTTTTACGACGCTAAATCAAAAAACGGTCTAACGAATATTATAACGTTATTTAGGCGATGTAAGTTTGATTGTTGAAAGCAAGTCAAGTGATGGTCACGCTGATTCTAAATAAAAACTGACACAAAACTTCTGTTTTAAACCTTACCTTCTAATTACTGGTATCAGAGACTGCTGTGACACTTCATTCATGAAAACTTTCAACTGAAGATTAAACGGTTCCTGGAAAAGACCAAAAAAAAAGGTGCAATTGAAAGAACTGTAAAATTAACAAGAGAATCGCAAAGGATTTAACCCTTAACACCCTAACATCAGTATTCATATTCTTCATACTGTTCTCTGTACATTTACTAAGGTGCTGACAAGGAGAACTTGTCCAACAATAAAGACTTTCTTTAGTTGGTGATCATTTCCTTTATTCTCATGACCTTACAGAGTGATTCAGTGGTGATATTGTAGGGAGAAGTTAGATGCTAGTCACTCTTGGGGGCTAAAGGGTAAAACAATTGTGATGAAGAATTCAAGAGCTCACATTTCAAAGTCTCATGCGATCCAGTTTATCTTCAAACGAATTAAAAATTCGTTGAAGTAGATCACGTGTCTCTGTAACTTGACTGAAAGTGTGGAGAAATCACAACTGCTAACCAGAGCAAATAAAACTATCTCAACTATTCAGTAAAAACTCTACAATCAAGTAGAGTTGAAGCAAAGTTGAGCAGCACCATTTGAAGATTGCCCTAAAATGTCCTTACCCTGTTAAAATTAGCTGGAGGGGCGTCAAAGTTCGGAGGGACTGGGGAGATAAACTTAGGACAAGCATACGAGAAGGACTCCTCAAATGTCTGCAAGTCTCTGTGTCAAGAAAATTTAAGAAATAATTGAAAAAATTAATTAGTACATACAGTTAATGCTAGTGTGCGCTCGAACTCTTGGGAAGGTCACCTTGTTCCAGTGCACAAATGAAGAATTTTCAAAACAAACAAACAAAAACACACTCAACATACCCACGCTGAAGTCGTTGCAACCTATCTGCATTTTTCTCCCTCAGTTGTGAGTGAACATTTTCATCAATTCGCTGCAACAAAAGCAAATCTTTGTAAAATCTCAA